ATGGACTAGTACATATTGGAAAGAATAAAATACCCAGGAATAAATTTAACCAAGGAGGTGAAAGAATTATAAGCTGAAAACTACAAAACATTGCTGAAAGAAATTACAGATGGCCTAAATAAATGGAAAGACATCCTGTGTTCATGGACTATATTGTTAAGATGTTAAAACTACCTAAAGTGATCTACAGATTGAATACAATCCCTATCAAAATTCCAACAACCTTTTTTGAAGAAATGGAAAAGTTAATCCTCAAATTCATATGGAATTGCAATGGGCCCTAAATAGCCAAAATGATCTTGAAAAAAGAGCAAAGTTGGAGGACTCACACTTCCTGATTTCAAAACTTACTACAGGGCTGGCTGGTTAGCTCAGTTGATTAGGATGTGGTGGTGATAACACCAAGGTCCAGTGTTTGATCCCTGTGCTGGCCAGCTGCCAAAACAAAACAAACAAACAAACAAATAGTAATCAAAACAGTGTGGTACTGGCATAAGGATAGACATTGGTATAGACCGACAGAATAGAATTGAGAGTCCAGAAATAAACCCAATTATCTATGGTCAATTGACTTTCAAAAAGGGTGCCAAATCCATTCAAAGGGGAAAGACTAGTCTTTTCAACAAATGGTATCAGGACAGTTGGAGTGCCATATTAAGTTGGCCCCTCCTGAACGTCGTATACAAAAATTAACTTAAAATGGATTAAAAAATCTAAATATGAGCTAAAACCATAAAATTCTTAGAAGAAATATAGGGGTAAATCTTCATGACCTTGGATTTAGCAATGGATTCTTAGATATGACACGAGCAACATTAAAATTAAAAAATTTTGGCCTTTGTAGGTAGCTGTGAGTGCCAAGAGAGGCCATTAAGCACTCTCAGAATGTACAAGGTGGCCGGGCTCTGCCTGTCCAATCCCAAAAGCTGCCCACCAACCCTCTATTCCATGTGAATCTTTGCTCCTCTGGTACTTAGTAGCTCAGCTGAAGAAGATGAAGAAGTCCTTAGGGGAGACTGTCTCCTGCGGGCAGGTGTTGGAGAATTGCTCCCCCTACCCCCTCGGGTGAAGAATTTGGGTATCTGGCTGCGCTACCTCTACCTCCCAAAGCAGCATCCTCAACCTGTGCAGGGAACGTGGAGGTCTGACCTTGTGGGCACTGCTGCCCAGTGACAGGGTGCCTGGTCCTCACCATCCAGATCATGAAGGTGGAAGAGATTGCACCAACAAGAGCTGTGGGCCAGTGGTTAGTTCCACCAGTCCACCATCAAGTCCCTGCTGCCCCCACCTGTCCTGCGATGACAGCACAAGCCTCATCTCACCAGCAAGAGGTGAAATATCTCTTCTATGTGCACAGCCCTAGCCAGCCCTGGAACTGCTGAAATAAACTCCTGGGGAACAACAACAACAACAAATTTAAAAGTTTTGTTTATCAAAGGACATTATCAAGAAAGTGAAAGGACAACCTACAAAATAGGAGAAAATATTTTCAGATCATATATCTGATGGGATTTAATATGAAGAATATATAAAGAGCCCCTATAACTCAACAACAAAAAGACAAACAACTCCATTTAAAAAAGGGCAAACAGGGGCTGGCTGGTTAGCTCAGTTGGTTAGAGCAAGGTGTTGATAACACTAACGTCCAGGGTTTGTTGCCTGTACCAGCCAGCGGCCAAAAAAATTTTAAAAGATTAAAAAATGAAAATATAGAAATGGCCAAGAAGCACATGAAAAGATGCTCAACACCGTTAGCCATTAAGGAAATGCAAATCAAAACCACAATGAGATACCACCCCACACCTATTAGGATGGCCATATACAATTTTTAAAAAGAAGGGCCGGCCCGGTGGCGCACTGCTACAGTGCGCCGCTTGGGAGCGCGGCGGCGCTCCCGCCAAGGGTTCAGATCCCACATACAGACCGGCTGCTGACTGGCTGAGCGAGGTGCGGGCGCAACACCGAGGGTTGCGATCCCGTTGCCGGTCCCGGTCCGGTACAGGCGTGACACTGAGGGTTGCGATCCATTGCCGGTCACGAGAAAAGACATAAAGGAAAAAATAAATAAATAAATAAAATAAAATAAAAAGAAAATAACAAGTGTTGGTGAGGATGTGGAGAAATTGGAACCATCAAGGCGCGACACTGAGGGTTGCGATCCATTGCCGGTCACGAGAAAAGACAAAAAGGAAAAAATAAATAAATAAATAAATAAAATAAAATAAAAAGAAAATAACAAGTGTTGGTGAGGATGTGGAGAAATTGGAACCATCGTACTTTGCTGGTGAAAATGTAAAATGGTGTGGTCACTGTGCGAAAGTTTATCACTTCCTCA